TCCCTCCCTCTCTTCCATATCCCCCCAACCACCCTCCCATCCCATCCTCCCGCTACTTCAAAGGGGGGGTGGTGCCTTCTAGGAGGAGTCAACAAAATCTGTCAAATGTATGGAGTAGGGACTAGGCCCTCCCTCCTGCCCCTAGGTTAAGGGAGTATTCCACCATGGGGAATGTGCTCCCAAAGGTCTTTTGTACTTGAAGTTCTAGCTGAAGCAATAAGATAACAAAAGGAGATCAAGGGGATACAAATTGGAAAGGAAGAAGTCAAACTGTCACTATTTGCAGATGATATGCTAGTTTATATAAGCAACCCAAAAAACCCTACCAGGGAACTCCTACACCTGAAAAACACCTTCAGCAAACTAGCAGGATACAAGAAAAACTTAAAAAAAAAAATCAGTAGCCCTACTATATACAGACGACAAAGGGGTTGAGAAAGAAATCAGAGAAACATCGCCCTTTACAATATGTTTAACATAAAGTATCTTGGGGTAACGCTTACCAAACAAGTGAAAGACCTAATAGCAAGAACTTTGTGTCTTTAAAGAAAGAAATTAAAGAAGATACCAGAAAATGGAAAGATCTCCCATGCTCATGAATAGGTAGGATAAATATAGTAAAAATGGCAATCTTGTCAAAAGTAATCTACAGAATCAATGAAATCCCCATCAAAATCCCACCACAATTCTTCACTGACCTTGAAAGGATAATAACCAATTTTATATGGAAAAAACAAAAGAACCAGGATAGCCAAAATAACCCTGTACAATAAAGGAATTTCAGAAGCATCACAATCACTGACTTCAATCTCTACTATAGAACTATAGTCCTGAAAACAGCTTGGTATTGGCACAAAAATAGAAAGGTAGAACAATGGAATCAAATCAAAAATCCTGATATTAACCCACACACCTATGAACACTTGATTTTTGACAAAACATCTAAAAGTATACAATGAGATGAGGAAAACATCTTCAACAAATTGGTACAGGAGACCGCTTCCTGAACATAACTCCAGTAGCACAAACATTGAGATGGACAATTAATAACTGGGACCTCCTCAAACTTAGAAGCTTATGTAAGGCAAAGGACACAGTTGACAAGACCAAATGGCAGCCCACAGACTGAGAAAAGATCTTCACCAAGAGGGCTGATCTCCAAAATATACAAATAACTCAAGAAACTAGTCAACAAAACACCAAATAACCCTATTTAAAAATGGGGTACAGAACAGAAGAGAGAATTATCAATAGAGGAAATCAAAAAGGCTGAAAGACACTCAACATCCTTAGCTATCAGGGAAATGCAAATCAAAACAACTTTGAGATACCATCTTACTCCTGCCAGAATGGCTAAAATTAGAAACACCAATGACAGTTTATGCTGGAGTGGATGTGGAGAAAGAGGAACACTTCTCCACTGCTGGTGGGAGTACAAACTTGTACAGCCATTTTGAAGATCAATATGGCAGTTCTTCAGGAAAATGGGGAACAGTCTACCACAGGACTCGGCAATCCCCCTCTTAGACATATACCCAAATGATCCACATCCATTCAACAAAGACATCTGTTCAACTATGTTCATAGAAGAATTATTTGTAATAGCAAGAATCTGGAAGCAACCTAGATGCCCCTCAACTGAAGAATGGATAAAGAAGATGTGGCACATTTACACAATGGAATACTGCTCTGGGGATAAAAACAATGGACTCTTGAAATTCTCAGGCAAATGGATGGAACTTGAAGAAACCATCCTGAATGAGGTAACCCAGTCACAAAAAGAGGAACATGGTATGTACTTGCTCATATGTGGATTTTAGATATAGAGCAAAGATCACAAACCTATAACTCACACCACCAGAGAAACTAGGATACAAGGTGTATTCTAAGAGATTCATATAAAGTCCCTCACAGAAAGGCAAAGGAACAAGATCTCCTAAGCATATTGGGAGTGGGGGGTCAGTGAGTGAAGAGGGAGCTAGGAGAAAGAGAAGGGAAGGAGAGGAAAGCACGAGGGACTAGGAAGATTGAATCAGGGGAGGAATAGAGGACAGAAAAGAAAGAGGGGGGAAGAGAGAAAGAGAGAGGAAAAGAGAGAAAGAGAATATAAAAGAGGAAGCCATTATAGGTTTGAAGAGAAAACTGACCTTATAGAAATGTCCAGAGACCTACAAGACTGACCCCAACTAACAATTTGAGCAACAGTGGAAAGGCTACCTTAAATGCCGTTCCCTGATAATGAGATTGATGACTAACTTATCTACCATCATAGAGCCCCATCTAGTAGCTAATGGAAACAGACACCCATAACTAAACACTGAGCCAAACTAGAATCCAGATGCAGAGAGGGAGGACAAGACCAGGCTACAGAAACCCACAGAGATAGCTGACCTGAACAAAGAGGAGCTAATGGGCCCCCAGATTGATAGCTGGGAAACCAGCATTGGACCAACTCAGACCCCCTGAACATGGGTCTCAGTTAGAAGGCCTGGGCAGTCTAAGGGACCTCTGACAGTGGAACCAGATACTTTTATGTTAACTTATAAATGAAACAGCATAAGGCTGTTAAAAAAAATTCTTGATAAGAAATAAAACTAAGAACCTGGCATGGAGGAGGATGGATCATCCGTGGCACAAGAAAGAAAGAAAAGAAAGATAGAAAGAAAGGAGGGTGGGAGGTAAAAAAGGAAGGAAGGAAGGAAGGCCGAAAGAGGAGCCAGCGTTGGTGGCACACACCTTTAATCCCAGCACTCAGGAGGCAGAGGCAGTTGGATCTCTGTGAGTTCGAAGCCAGCCTGGTCTACAGAGTGAGTGCCAGAACAGGCTCGAAAACAATACAGAGAACCCCTGTCTAGAAAGAAAACAATACAGAGAACCCCTGTCTAGAAAGAAAGAAAGAAAGAAAGAAAGAAAGAAAGAAAGAAAGAAGAAAGGAAGGAAGGAAGAAGAAAAGAAAGAAAGGAAATTTGGGTGAGACTAGAGACAAGCCACTGCAGAGTCTGTAACCATTTGTATTAGTCAGGGTTCTCTAGAGTCACAGAATTTGTGTAATACGTCTCTCTCTCTCTCTCTCTCTCTCTTTATTGGAATGACTCTTACAAGCTATAGTCCAACTAATCCAACAATGGCTGACTGTGAATGGAAAGTCCAAGAATCTAGTAGTTGCTCAGTCCTTCACAGCTGGGAGTCTCAGCTGGGAGTCTTCTTTTATGCTGGAATTCTGAAGAAGTAGGTTCTGATGCTAGTGAAGGAATGGATGTGATGGCAAGGCAAAGGCAAGCTGGCAAAGAGTAAAAGCTTCCTTCTTCTGTGTCCAGCAGAAGGTGTGACCAAGATTAAAGGTGTGTCTTACTACCTCAAGGTCTGTATTAAAGATATGTGTTTTCCTGCCTGGAATCTGGATTAAAGGTGTGTGTTCTTTCCTGTCTGTGGTCTGAAATAAAGGTGTGTGTCTTTCACCTCAAGATTCAGATGAAAGGTGTGTGTTATCCCCCCTCTCAAGATCCAGATCAAAAGCATGTGTTTTCCACCCTTAAGATCTGGGTAACAGGTGTGCTCTCCATTTCTGTATTGCACTTCATTCCAAATATAGTCAAGTTGATGGCCAATAATAGCCACCATCCCATTGCTCGGCAGAAAAGACAGTAAGAAAAAAATTCGTAAAAGATTTGTGGTGTAGACCTGGGACTGTTTGGTGATGGAATCTGGTGATGAGGTAAAGGGAACATTCAGGTTGAGCAATGGTTTTCTAGTTTACAGAGTTTTTGATAATTTACTCAGATTCTAATATCTAATTCTTTTCAGTATTTGTAATCTGACCAAGGGACTTGGTTTGTAGTTAACTTTCTTTGTTTATTCTTCACAAATAGATCGGTCCTTGAAATTAGCATCTATTATAGTACAATATTTGTATCTTTTTTTGTTGGTTTTGTGTTTTATTTTGAGACAGGATGCCTCTGCCTCTGCCTTTTCCCTTCTGCCCCTCTGTGCCTCTGTCTCCGCCTCTGCCTTTCTCTCTGTGCTGTAATTAAACATGTGTGCCACCATACAGAGCTAATGCTTGAATCTGGGAAATTCAATATCCACATCTTTTTACCATATACAAGCAGGGGTGGTGGCATGTTTATGTAATCTCAGGACTTTAAGGCAAGAGTACTGTTTGTTTCAAGTTCAAGGCCAGCTTCGGATTCATAATGAATGCAGGAACCTGCCAGAACTCAGACAAGATACCTCTCGATTCCTCCCATCCCCTCCCTTCTCTCCTTTCTTCCCCCTCGTGTGTGTGCGTGTGTGTACAAATGTGAGGACACTTGCATACCATGGAATACACAGAAGTCAAAAGATAACTTCTCAAGAGTTGATTCTCTTTCCCCTGTGGATTCCAGGGACCGAACTCAGGTTGTCAAGCTTAGATGGCAAACACATTTACCCCTGAACTATAGACCCACCATACTTTTTGAGGCAGGTCTCTTAATGAATTTGGAATTTCCTGATTGAGCTAGGCTGGCTCTCCAGTCAACTCCAGCAATCCACCAGTCTGTACCTTCCCAGAGCTGCCCCGTGCAGCTTGTTTCCCTGGCACTCTTGGTTACATGGGTTCTGGGGATCGAACTCAGAGCCTCAGTTTTCCCAACAAGCTGAGCCTTCTCCTCAGAACCCCTCTCTCTCTCTTTCTAATCGCATTTGAATTTTTTCCTTTATTGCGGCCCTCCTGGATGAGAAGGAAATGGAGTGTGTGGATTCTCAAATATTTGGTGCTTCCAACCTCTCGCTCCGTATCTTGCTATTTCTGGTAAACATAAGAACCTTAAGGGGCAGAAAAGCAATTGCTTTGGCATTTCCCCACCAGATGGGACCAGAAGCTTCCAGCCTATTCTTTAGTCCTTCTTGTTGCTTTTCGCACCGCCAAGCGGTAGGGGGCGATAGATCCCGAGACGAGGCTCGGCTGCCTCCTCGCGCCGCTCCCGACGCGTCCATCTCTACGTAGACGTTGGGGGCGGGGCCGTGCTGTGCGCAGTGACTGGTGGCGGCCCCGGCGGCAGCTGCCGGCGTAATAGTGCGGTCGACGGCTTAGATAAGTTCCGCGGAGGCGGCGGTGGCGCCGACTGCGGGTTGGGCGTCGGGAGCGGGCCCGGAACTTGGCGCTCAGCATGCCGACGGTGGAGGAGCTGTACCGCAACTACGGCATCCTCGCCGATGCCACGGAGCAAGTGGGCCAGGTAGGTCCCCGCGGCCTGGAGGGCCCGCCGCTCGGGGCTGGGCTCCCGCCGCACTGGGCCGCGACGCCGGGCGCGCACTCGGGGCGGGAACGCTGCCTCGGCCTGCTCGGGAGCGCGCGATCCCGCAGCCCGGCCTTCCCTGGGTCTCCCGGGACCCGCGTCCAGCGGTGCCGCCTTTCGCATTTCCCGGACTGTGATGAAATGGAAAGTTTTCCTCAAGAGATCAGCATTGTCGGTTCTTGAGGCAGAAGTTGTGAATGGTCTACAAAGAGTAGGATACAGGACTTGTGCAAAGCACCGGCGAGGCCCTGTCGCCCGGACTGGGATAGGAACTTGCGGCGGCGGTCGTTCCCAGCACTTTTAGCCGTCTGCCGGGCACCCAGCTGTGGCGGGCGTTGGAGGCGCGGTGGCAGCTTCGTGCTCGCCCTGGCGAGAAAAGTACAGGCGTTTTGTGTTGTTCCTCAATGGAAGAATTTTGTGAAGAAAGTAGTTGCGGAACGGGCTATGGGGGGTGGGTGGGTGATGTAGCCCTAAATAGAATGTTCTAGGAAGTGCTCTCCGCTTCGTTTGCCCCGGGCATAGTTTTCTTTAACACTGCTGAATTCTACTTTTTCAGTCTTGAAGCTTTGTGTTGAGCTTGAGTTGGTAAGGTCATGTACATGTCCTCTGGGAAAAAGAACCCAGGCTGGCCATGAGGTTTTAGAAATGCTCGTTTTCCGTGCTTAGACTCTTTGTGATTCCTCTGTGTGCTCATCCCGCACCATAGAAAGCGAAACGTCCTTGAGTTGAGCGGTGGAGGAGTCCCTTCCTGTCGCTTAGGATGTGTGCAATTCAAGTAGAACCTTACTAAATTTGCGGGGAAAGAGGGCGTGTTAGAACCTAACTCGGTATTGTGAATGAACCAACTTCAAGTGCTTTTCCTTGTCTGTCGAGACAGACACACAATGTCAAATGCGTTTTAGGTTCGCCTTCACAGATGTCTGTGTGCTGTTAGGCCCGTTGTAAAGTGATAAGGCAGCCTTGGCCAGTGTACTTTTGTTGGTGTTTGTAACTGAGTTAGGGAGGAGCATAACTGACTGTTCTACCAAAAGTTAATTTGTCGAACATCAGCAAGAGAGGCCAGGGATGGAACCTAGAATAGGGATTCACTACCGGTTCGTGGATGGTGCCCTCCAATTTTAGGTTTTGGATTTTGTTGTTTGCTTGCTTACTTGTTTTTGGTTTCTTTTTGTGTTTCAAGACAGGGTTTCTTTGTGTTGTCCTGGCTGCCCTGGAACTTGCTCTTTATAGAACTGGCTGTCCTGGAACCCAGAGATCCTCCTGCCTCTGCCTGTCCAGTGTTCGGACTAAAGATATGTGCCCCTACCGCCACACCCAAGAATGGTGGTCTCCTAAAGAGATAAATCGGGAATTTTCCAGGGAAAACTTTGAGACTGTGTGCTTCCTGCTGTCTCATCCCCACCGATCTTTGCTGAAGTAGGGAAAAGAATTTTTTGATAGTCACCTACATAGTGTACATTAGGGCAGATGGAAGGCAAGTTCACTTTGCATGGGGAGGGGCAGGTATCCTTTTCTGAAATGCCTGCAGCCACATATGTTTAAGTTCTTTTTCCCTCAGATTTTGGAATACCGTAGATTGTACAGGCTGATCATCCCCAGTGTAAACTCCAGTCAGCTCCTCAATGTGCAAGTGTCAGGCCCCGTGTTACTTGGGTTTAAGAAGTGAGAGTTGCCCCAAATCTGTTATCATTTAAATTTTTTAAATTTCATTTTTACTGAGTGTGTGTGGATATCCCTGTGTGTTTGCACCTGTGTGTGCACTTGCGTATGGAGGCCAAAGTTAACATCAGGTGTCCTCCTTATTTACTGTCCACCTACTTTTTGAGACAGACTCTGACTAAATCTGGAGTTCACCCATTCTGCCAGTCTGGCTATCTAATAAGACCAGAAATCCTCCTGTCTCTGCAACCCTAGTGCTGGAATTACAGTTGTACAACTGTGAGCCAAACTTTTATATGGCTTGTGGGGATTGAACTCAGATCCTGGTGATCATATGGCAACATTTTACTGGTTGAGTCGCCTCCCCAACCTCCTGTGATATAGCTTTATGATAAAAACCAGATTGAATGGATAGCTCTCCTCAGGAGGTCCAAAATGGCTTTCACAAGGCAAAACCGCTGCTTAAGAGAAATCCCAGCCTTGAGAGACAGAGGCAAGCAGATCTCTCTTGAGTTCGAGTCCAGCCTGGTTTATAGAGCCAATTCCAGGACAGCTAGGGCTGTTATACAAAGAAACCCTGTCTTGAAAAACGTGATGGGGGGGGCAGTTTCATGAATGCAGTATATGCAGTATGTTTTGTTTGTTTGGTTTTTGTTTTTGTTTTGTTTTGTTTGCTTCTGCCAGATACTGAGTGCTGGGCATTGGGACCTAGCATGATGACTTGTAGATAGTGGGTAATCAGCATCTTCATGACATTGTGATTACCATGTCATTTAAGACACTAACTGCAGCACAACCAATAACAGTGAGTCCTGACTGTGTGGTAGTCTTCCTTTTAGAGAAGATACCTGGAAATGCTCACCAAAAAACATAGTGGGTGTTGGGATGTTGCAGAAATTTTAACTAACAAAATGCAAGAGCTAGCTTGATGGTGAAGACACATCACCCATTGTAGACAAGAGAAAATACCTTTGTGTTTAGCAAAATAAAATTTCATGTTGCATTCCCTAGCAGATTGCTATGTAGACCCTTCTGAAACTGACTTTGGCTGTTTTGATCTGTTGTCTTTGATTTGATTTTTTAGCTATGCTACTGCAAACCATTCTTTCCCTCTCTAGATCAATAGCACCCCCAAATACCAGGAAAAACACAAGTCCCCTGAGGCCTAGAAGGAGATGTACACATGTGTGTACATGCATATAGAGGCCAGCTTCTGTATCATTCCTCAGGAGCTGTCCACCTTTTTTAATGAAATAGTATCACTGAGACCTGGAGCACCAAGCTCCAGGAATCCTCCTGTCTCCACTTCCATTGGAATTATAAGCAGTACCATCATGCCTAGCTTTTCCCAGGTATTCTGGAGTTTGGACTAGAAAGTGACAACCACTTTCTAGACTGCTGTCTCCCCAGACTCCAATCTCCCTTTCCAAGACATATTAGCTAATTTCCCTCAAGTAGCAGATCTTTCTCTTCTTTTAAAGATTTTTTTTTATTCTTTTTTATTGCTTTATGTGAGTTTTGTCCAAGGAGGGTATCAGATTCCCTAGAATTAGGATTATAGACAGTTGTGAACATGGGTGCTCAGAATCCATTTCCCCTGTGGAGGAATAGCCAGTGTTCTTAACCACTGAGCCATCTTTCCAGCCCAGATCCTTTTTGAACCTCCTTGTCTCTGTTTATTAATAGCACTTCAGCTTTGTATTTTGCTTTATGTATGGATTTTTCTTACTCATTTACTAAATTATAAAGTTGTGGGGATAAGTGTTAAATCCTTGCACTGTATTTTCTAGGAAATAATTTCTTAAAGACATATATACAAAGAAGGAATATACAAAAAAAAAGTTGAAGGCCTTACTTGGGGATAGGTATAATTACTTAGATGGCAATTTAATGGATACATGTCCATTTAGCTAAATAACAGCTGTAGTTTGCCCTCTTGGCCTTATGACCTTCCCAGCCACAGGCTTCTGAGCAGGTTTACAGTATCAGCTGTGAATTCCTTCTTAAGGATTGAGCCTTAATTCCACTCAGGAAGCAGTTGGTTATATACATAACATTCTCACCACTGTTTCTCCAATGGGCATATCTTACCTGGCATGTCAGAGTTCCACTCCAAGGGGCGCTAGCCAGTAGGCAGGAAGGAAGCTTTCAACTTATTTTCAGCCTGATTTCTCTCTGTCCCTCAACCAAAGCATGGAGCATCATCATCAGTAAGGTCTTACTGCTAGTTTTGGTGGGTGGCCAACCACAGTGGCAATTTTCTGTTTTGTTAGGAGGACCTTAGAGGCCTCTTTCACCAAGAATACATAGGGAAGAAGCCCACATCTGGCACTTGGGTTTTTATTTAATAGCCTGCACCTTCTGGGAATGCACCTCTGTTCACACTCTATTATTCTTGATTATTTTTACCAATTACCAGGCTTCCTTATGCTTTTTCATACAATCCTCGGTTTTGGGTGAATCCCCTGCAACACTCTTTCCTCTTCCCTAGCTCTTTGCCCCACTCCCTGCTTAAATCTTTCCACCCACAGTATGTCCCTTCTACTTCCACGTCATGTTTTTTACGCCCCCCTCCATGTTCACCATTCTTTTAGTAGAATACATTGATGAAAATGGCTCCAATTTTACCTTATATTTTCCTTGAAGGAATACCTTAAATAATTTGGAGTTCTATTTATTATTATTGAAAATATACCAAAACATGGTTTTAGAAAAGCATCAGAATATTTGCAGTTGAGGCTGGTGAGGTGACTCAGGGGCTAAAAGTACTGATTGCTCTTGCCAAGTGAGGACCTAGGTTCAATTCCCAGCACCCACCTGATGCCTCACAACTGTTAATGCTTCTTTCTCTTGTTTTGAGACAGTGTCTCACCATGAAACTGTCTGGCCTGGAACTCACTTGTAGATACCAGGCTGGCCTCAAAATCAGTTGGAAATCAGTTGGAACCTACAGTCTTGCTGGAAGAGAAGTAGACAGAGCTGTGCACTATTTGGAATATTTTATGCTGCTGACAGTCCAGAGTGCCATTAAGTTGCCCATTACTGAAGATACTACCAGTTTTTATTTTCTGCATTAGTAGCAAATAGAGAGCTGAAGAGGCCCTAAGTTCAGATCCCTGACATGCACGTAAAAGATCAACATGGTGGCTCATGTCTAACTCTAAACCTGGGCAGTTAAATCCAGCTCCAGGAGGTCCCATGCCCTCTTCTGACCTCTGCAGTCACCACACACACACACACACACACACACACACACCCACACACACACACACACACACACCCCTACCTAAGTAAAAATACATAGTTAAGAAAATCAGGTGAAGAGCAGTAGAGGAAGACACCACCCAGCATCATCCTATAGACACATAGTAGTAACTCTATTCTTTAGGGAGACAGAAAGGAGAAGTTTTGGTGCAATAGTTAGAAAACATTTAAAGAGCTGACTTTTTGGGTTTGCATTATGTTAAGTGGTAATCAGGTAACATCTGTTAGCAATCATTGTTTAGTTATTTGGTGGAACTTTGACTTCTGGATTCAGTGTGTTAAATCACATTGACTTTCCAAGGCTTTTCTGTGTTTGTGATGCTGTATCTACTTTAGATGCCTATGTAGAGCATATGGTTGGCTCTTAAATTTTGCTTTGTGAGGCAGTTTTTTTGCTCTGACAGGTCTTAGTTCTGACAAGCTTTAGAGCCAACAGAACTGTGTTTAGATCTTGAATCTGTTGCTTAACTTGCTGTGTGACCCTGGGCAAACTATTTCACTCTTGTTTTCTCAGCAGGAAAATAAAGGTCGTTGTGAGGCATGTAGACAATGTATCACTCCATCCCTGGAAGAAGCAACTGCCTCTAATGATTCTTCTATATCTGCCCCCCCCAACCCCTTGGCATAGGGAAAATTTACTGTAAGCCAGGCTTTTTAATTTAGACAAGGTAGGGTGTTCCTTCAGGAAGCTTTTGAAATAAAGCTTTAAGTTTGAGCTAATGGAAATTAATGTAGATTTGTATTGTTCTGAAAAAAGGGGTGTCAGAACTGTTCATGACTGACTTCATGAATCTGCTGATGAGCTCAGACAAGCCACAAATGTGAAGTGGTAGAAGTCAGCCGTGACTATTTTTCAACACTTACACTGAAAAATGTATAGTTCTCTGGAGAGTGATATCATGCCTGCATTTCATAAAGAAGCTAGCCTTGTTTATGGACATGTCTGTTCATGAAAAGCTGACTGACTGTTTTACATGTCCATAACTCCATTCTGCTTTATTTTTTTATTCAGCCCAGTATTATCCACAAAAGGTGTTCGAATAAAGGTTTGGTGGATATTTATTAGTTACTCTTTCTTTCTGGTATGAAGTTAAGTACAGCACTTAGCATATCCCCTATCAGAGTGGCCACCACTATGTCCACATGTGGTATCAAGATTACAGTTTAGGGAACTTTATTCTTAGTGAAGTTATATTCATATGTCCATACAGACCTCTTATTCTGTATTTCTTGCCATTTAGTAAAAGCACCAGTTGGGAGGTAGTCTTAGAAGGGCAATTGGGAACTTGTTGAGATTTTACATTGGGTGTCTCAGAACACTTAAAAATTGACACAAATGTGAGCTTGGCCTGTATCCTTATGTGCAGTGCACGTTAGAATTTGTCTTAATCCAAAATTGGCTGGCTATATAAATTGTTGCTATTTTCACAGTCTAAAATATAAGATGAAATTAAAGTTTGCTAAAATTACTTAATTTCAGAAATGTATTCCTTTTCACCTTTCTCAAGATACTAGTTAGAACAGGTCCTTGTGAGTGGGAGGCAGGATAAGACAAGGTCTTGCTATGTAACTTCCGCTGTCTTCATACTTGCCACCTTCTTGCCTCAGCCTTTAATAAATGTAACTCAACTTTGAGAATCCTGTAGTCTCTAATTTTTTAAAGCATGACACAGTCCCAAGACCTGGTGATACCTATAATGATGGGATGTTGGGACATTTAACAACTTAACTTACTTTTTCTATTTAAAATTAGAGTCACATTTCTCTTTCCTAATTGACAAATACAATGGGCTAGGCAGTGGGGAATAGGGAAATAGAGTAAAAAGGTCATGTCCAATTTAAGCAGTAAACTCTGGTGTTTGTAAACATTGGGAGCATTTGTGCATGTGTGGTAAATCTCCCCATAGCTTCTAGTCCTTCAGTATTGTTTCCTTTTGTCTTCTAGCATAAAGATGCCTACCAAGTGATACTGGATGGCGTGAAAGGTGGCACAAAGGAGAAACGATTAGCAGCTCAGTTTATTCCAAAATTCTTTAAGCATTTTCCAGAACTGGCTGATTCTGCAATCAATGCTCAGTTAGACCTCTGTGAGGATGAAGATGTGTCAGTAAGTTTATGACTGATACCTCATTAAGCTTTCTAGTATTTCTATATATAATTAACATGATCAAAGTAGTGATGAGTCCATAATCTGTTATCATGGTATATTACATTGTACCAGACCCAGAGTGAATGCTACACCTGAGAAAATTAGTTTATTGTCTTGTATTTATGAAAAAGGCATGGAATAACAAATTTCATTATCCACTGCTAAAAATGAAATGTAGCTCACATCTTTCTTAGTTATTCATATTTCATATGAAATTAGATTATTGGTTAATGTAATTTGTACTTGTAGTTGTATTATATGTGTCATAAAAAAAATAGTTTGTCACTGTGATACTTGTAACTGATTACCAGATTAAGAATGGATCCTTTGGGGGGGTGTGGGGCATGGGAGGGAGAAGGAACTGGAATTGATACGTAAAATAGGAAAAAATAATAAATATATATATTTTAAAAACAGAAAAAGAAAACAAAACAATGGTTTATCAACTGAAAAAAGAAAAAGAAAGAATGAATCATTTTTCCATGGTCCAGATTTAACCATTAGCATTTCTAGTTACTGATGCAGGCTCCTAAAATTTTTTCATCAATTAGCTCTTAACTTTCTGAATGAAATCAGTGAATCACTAGCATTTCATGCAGAGTATGTTAGATAAACTCTCCATCATTTTTAATGTAAGAGCTAGTAAATTGAAATCTTTTTTAGTTCAAATTAAGTTGTCATTATAGAAAGCTCTAAAGTAATCATAGTGAGGGCTCTGTCGTGGATGCTGTTCTGAAGGAACAATGTTAACATGCCTAAAAGTCACAACCCAACAGTTGTATATAAGTCACATACAAACATGTTTTGTTATCGCTCTCTGCTCCAGTCTGGTGGTTAATATCCCTTTCAGCTGCATTTATCATATTTATTCTGTGAAACCTGAATAGTAAATTGAGCCAATAGCACATTTCTTAGTCGCAACTACTCAGGAGGCTAAGATAAGAGGATCACTTGAGCCAAGAAGTTTATGGCAAGTCTTAGCCACATAACAGTATCATGTCTCAAAAACAAATGGGGAAAATTGTTTTTTAAACTGTTACAAACAGGAGAGATGTCTCAGCAATTAAGAGCACCTGTTGCCCCTCTAAAGGACCTGTCCCAACACCCACAGATGCTCATAGTGGCCTCTAACTTTAGTTCCAATGGATCCAGTGCCCTCTCTCTGTCCTTTCTGGGCACCAGCACATAGATAGTGCACACATACATACACACAGTCATAAATAAAAATCTTGAAATAATAAACTCATCTTTATGACGTGAGATGGCTGAGCAGGTAAAGATACTTTATACATAAGCCTAACAGCCTTAGTTCGGTCTGCAGAGCCCATATAAAGATGGAAAGAATGAGCCAACTTCACAGAGTTGTCTTCTGACTTCCACATATGCATTGTGCTATGTGTACCTCCCTCCCCATCATTCACAGATGTACACAATAATTAAACTGTCTTTAAGAAAAAACATCTTACAATTTACAGTTCATGTGCTTTTTAATATGGTTTCTTCCTGGTTTTAGTTATCTTAAAGCTGAGTTTGTCATTGCTTTTTTATGATGATGCCATTTGAGTTATTTTTGTTTGTTTGTTTGTTTGCTTGCTTGCTTGTTTGAAATCATGCCCAGATACGACGCCAAGCAATTAAAGAGCTGCCTCAATTTGCTACAGGAGATAATCTGCCAAGAGTAGCAGATATACTGACCCAACTTCTGCAGACAGGTGAGAGATTCTTTTGTTATCTTTTAATCTAAATATTCTCTCTGGAATACTGGCTAGTCTTGACTTTGTTTTGCATAGGTGATGAACATGGAGGTCCTGCCTCTGGCAGATGATATTGAACTTCTTTCTTTCATTCAGTATTATAAAACTCATTTGACTTCTGAGTCTGTTACTTTTTTTGTTTTAAATTCCATTTAAAAAGGCATAATGGTGGGCTTCTCTTTAGACTTGTAACATATTATCATTTCACCTGTTTTCCTATGGTGGGACACTGGTGCTATCTTAACAACATTTTGCAGGTTACTTATTCCATCACCTGTGTAAAAGGCTGTTGAATCATAACTTTGAAAATGAAGGTGGTATTTTAAATTTATCTTTTATTTATCATGCTACTGTTTCTCTCCCCAGATGACTCCGCAGAATTTAATTTGGTGAACAATGCTTTATTGAGTATATTTAAGATGGATGCAAAAGGTAAAGCCAGTTCTCTTTCTGAACCCATGTTTAGGAAACCAGAAAGCTTGGGTTTTACTTGAGTCTTTTCATATAAAAGTGATGGCTTATTTTGAAAAAGGACCTCCCAGCTTAAATGTATGTGAATTTACAGTAGAAGTAATTGTAAAGACAGTTCAAATTTCCCCTCGAAATGTGTTGGAAAAATTGCTTTTGCATCTTTAAAGAAATTCTTCCAAAATACCTGGAGTTTATGATTGAGGTTGAAAAGAAATGCCAGTCATATTCAGGCTGATGCCCTGGGACAAAGAAATTTCAGACTGACTTTAGCCAGCATTGATGGTATTCAGGGTGTTTATTCACTTATTTGAACAAGGATGAAATAAATGTAAATGTTGGCTCTTTTGTTTTTACAGGAACGTTAGGTGGCTTATTTAGCCAGATTCTTCAAGGAGAAGACATTGTTAGAGAAAGAGCAATTAAATTCCTGTCCACAAAACTTAAGACGCTCCCAGATGAAGTGCTAACTAAGGAAGTAGAGGAATTCATACTTACTGAATCCAAAAAGGTCTGTTGCAGTCACCTTGAGATTCACTGCTAACCATTAGTGCTGAGTGTGGATGAATGATGTATCCCGCTGCAGAAGTGTTCTTTGTCTTGTATTTACCACTCTTTCACTCACCTTATTGACTCAGACTTATTTAAAGAGTAATCATGTTGAAATCCTTGGTGGTGTTATCTTAATTGCTCCTTATTCTTCTTTTCCATCTTGAGATAGTCAAAATATTATGGAGCATTTCAAAATGAAATGGCATAATGAAATAATAGGTGGAAATAAATTTTTTGGCAGTGCCTGTAAAATTTTTTAAGAGTATGAAAGCATTTGTATTAGCTGCTTACCTTGTTGCTGTTGCAAAATTGTCTTGGTTAGGGTTTTTATTACTGTGAAAACACACTATGTCTATGGCAACTCTTATAAAAGGAGACATTTAGTTGAGGCTGTTCAGTTAATAGTTTCAGAGAGATTCAGTCCCTTATCACCATGGTGGGGAGCATGGCGTCATGCAGGCAGACATGGTACTGGACCTGAGAGTCCTACATGTTACAGGCAACAGGAAATTGATTGAGGGAAGCTTGAGCAAAAGAGACTTCAAGGCCTGCCCCCAACAATAACACACTCCCCCTCCCCCAACAAGATCATACTCACTCCGGCAAAGTCACACCTCCTAGTAGTGCCACACCCTGTGAGATTACAGAGGATAGTTATATTCAAACCACCACACCAGACAAAAGCAGCTTCAGGAAAGAAAGGTTGGTTTTAGCCCACAGTTGCAAGCAGTTATCTGTCATTGTGACAGAACTTGAGGTAGCTATTGACATTGCATCCACAGTCACGAAACACAAATAAATGCTGTTCTCAGCTAGTTGTCTCCTTTTTATCCAACAGTTCCACAACCCAGCCTGTGCAATGGTGCCATCCACCTGAATTAATCTACTGTACATAAGCCTTCAAAGGCATGCCCTGAAGCTATATAAGTCTTCACAGGCATCCCCGGGGGTTTGTCTCCTAGGTCATTAATCATCATGTCATGCTTATTTGTCTGCTTTCAGCATCTAGCATAGTTAAAAAGATTAGGATTGCCAAAGGGTGACTCTTCGTCCACTTTTATAGTGCCAAATTTGGGGAATAAATTTCTTTTAAAAAAAATCCAGCCTCATCTCTGTCATGACTTCACTCGCTAAGAAGTTCCTTCAGTGAGAAAGAAGTGGCTATCCTGCCGAAAAGGTGGTAATGTTCTTACATACCACGTCCTATATAGTCATCTGCAGGCTTTAGTCAGTGAGTATAATTGTCAGCCCACTGATAGAGGCGTATTAAAATAATAATGTTCCTTGTGTGGTGTCCTGTGGGCAGTTGTCATATTATGTGAGCAAGGCTGCTTAGTTTGTAGGAGGTACTGATTTACCAGTTTACTACAAAAATTTTCAATCATTTCTATTACTTCTCACCCTCACCAATCTTAATCATTTTGAAATTTTAATCTGAGTTATAATGTGAATCTGTGAAGTTATGTGTGTGTGTTGGCAGTGCTTTATATGTAAAAAAAAAAAAAAAATCTTTAAAATAATTTTGGTCCTCGTAGAGAATACACCTTTCTCTGAAATTAAAACTTATCCTTTTGTCATACAGAAGCAGAAGCATTAGGAAATAAGTGAAATGATGTCACTCTCACTATTGATGTCTTTCCCATTCAACTAATAAAAGTGCTGCTCTTCTGAATTGTCTAGGTCCTAGAAGATGTGACTGGTGAAGAATTTGTTCTGTTCATGAAGATACTGTCTGGGTTAAAAAGCTTACAGACAGTGAGTGGAAGACAGCAGCTGGTAGAGCTGGTGGCAGAACAGGCCGACCTGGAGCAGACCTTCAGCCCCTCAGACCCTGACTGTGTGGACAGGCTGCTGCAGTGCACGCGGCAGGCCGTGCCTCTCTTCTCTGTGAGCTTACACTTGGGTTACACTTAACTATGTCCATATTTACTTGAGCACTCTTCAGACCTTCCCATGAAAGCATTCTTAGCATAGTGGGGTAAATGGAAGCCAAGTGGCATTGTAAGAACCCAAAGCAGCAAACAATTTCTGTAAGGGCTTGCTTAGAAACTTTTTAAAAATTGTGAGAACTTACATTCTATCTCCAGCTTTGTTTCCTTTGCATAAATTATCTGAGTGTATATGCCTTAATTTGAAAAACATAAAGGATCTGTCCTTGTTGGGAAATGTGTAGTGTATAAATCTAACACTAAAATGTCACTAAACTAAACTTGAGAGTGAAAAGGGATATCCAAGATATATCCGTGTTCCAGTATTCCAGGTGACCTTGCAAGGAAGGTCACATGATGGTGAGGTACTTAGTTCACACTTTTGAATGGTGGTTTACTAGTATAATCTTTGAAAAAAGACTTTGTTTTTGTTTGTTTTGTGACTTTTGTTTTTTTTTTCTTTTGCCTTGTTTTTATAGAAAAATGTCCATTCTACAAGGTTTGTGACATATTTCTGTGAGCAAGTTCTCCCTAATCTCAGTACCCTAACTACCCCAGTGGAGGGTCTTGATATACAGTTGGAGGTAAGAGAACATTCCTGCTTTCAGCACTAAAAAGGTATTCCCATATTTCAGCAGAAATGTGAATCACTAACTTAGATCTGATTTCCAAGTGGGTAATTGAAATGTCTGGCAGTGGCTAGCCAGTAACCTCCTAGGCCAGAATTAATTGCATAGGAGTAATTTATGGCTGCTGTGGTGGGACAACACTGCCTCTAGATGTCATTGTATGGAATTTATATTATATAAGGTACTTAATTCATGACAGTTAGCCATATAGATTTAAACTAGATTGGGCCAGTGGGATGGTTCAAGCAAGTCAAGGTGTTAGACACCAAGTCCCTAGAAACCACATGGTGGAAGGAAAAACCAGCTCCTGTAAGTTGGTCTCTGACCTCCACGTGTGCAAGCACATGCCCATACCACAAATTGACAAGTGTTAGAAACAAACCAAATTAACACCATGTTTCCCTTACCCATCCTCCAGTGGAGTGAGCACCCTCCTGCTTTGGGTCTCAGTTGTAGCAGGCACAGTTTTCGTGTTATCTGTCATGTTCCACATGTTTACAGTATCACTTCTCCAGCATTTAACTTGACTCAATCCTATATCACACTATGTGGCATAGAGCCAGACTCTGAATGGCCATAATAGTAGTGAATGTCTAAAACCTGGAAATGCACATACCAATTCTTTCAACAAACTCTAGAACAGGGAATATGGGTATGTACTCACAGTAGTTTGCCTCACATCTTAGGCTAAGCTAGTCAGTCTAAGATTGGATGGACAGGATGAAATTTCCAGATAGTATCAGTTCCTAGTATTTTTCAGATAGCAACTAGAGTCTAACTTCAATAATAAGAAACCTTAATTTGAGTGACTAGTTGCTGTTGAAGATTCTATGTGGTGCTTGGTGGGTTATGTATTTATCATTTTTCACTGTGCTTAACACTGTCACTATGTCCTGTAGTAGAAAGGCTCATGTGTATTCTCTTTCCTTGCCTCCCACAGATTTATTGGGAATTAGGGGAGCTGGATTTGCTCAGATAGGGACCTTATGACTGTAAAGGACCTTTGTTTTCTTTAATGGTTAATTGTAAGATTATATCTCTAGGGAATTATCCAGTTCTAATATGATTCTGAAAAGCATACTTAAAAATAAGTACAATTTCTTTAAGGTATATAGAATTACTGTCATTCCATAGCTCTTGCTTATTTAAAAATAGTTCTAATGGTAAATTTGTATGTTTTAGGTATTAAAATTGTTGGCAGAGATGAGTTCATTTTGTGGTGACATGGAAAAACTAGAAACAAATTTAAGAAAACTATTTGATAAGTTACTGGTAAGAGCTTTCTTTTTTCTTTGTGGGGTAGTCAGTTTATAACCTTTAAGAATTAATTTCTGGGTAAGAACTAGCTTTTGAAATGTGCCTTGAACACTAATTCTAGTGAGTGCTCATGTTTCCTCTGTTGTAAGGTCTCTGTATCTTGGCATTTCCTGCTGCTGGTGCTTTGCATAAAGATCACCCATAATTTAGAGACTAGATATCCCTCTTGCTTCCAAATCAAAATGATATGTCCGTGAAAAAGTAAACTATCACGAACTCTACTGATTGAGTAGAGTAGCCTACAAACTAGTTGGCACTACAAAAGTCATTTGTTCCAGGCCACCAACTAGGTAGCAGCCTAGGGCCAAGTAGCTTTAGCAACCAGGAAATAGCCTGTCATTTAAGTTGTAATTGTGGAGAAAATAGGCCATCTAATAAAAATCTTTATCAGCATCACTGAGTGACTCTTGTGTTTGATGTGAGCAGTTACATAAATGGTCAGAGATAAGCCTTAGGCCCTTGGCATATATGAAGATGTTCAGCATCTGCTGCCTCCAGATTTGCAGTATCTACTGGGGTGTTGTAAGGCTGACATTGAATTCCTTTGTCACACAGTGTTCGACTTTAGAAAATATTTTAATTCATTAACAGTATAGACATGATGTACATTGAATCCTGTCTCTGAACTTTGGTGCCTATGGCCTTTCATTATTAATGGTAGCAGCTATAAAACATAGGTTAATAATGATAGCTGATGTGCCAGAATGTTGGTCCAGTAGGTTCTAGCTCAATTTCTAGTCTGTTTTTAGTGTTCCATGTCTTAAAACCATGCCTTAGGATTACATGGCTCTCTCTCTAATGGAAGCCTTTAGAACAGACTGCAAATATCTGGTCTCTCCTATGCTAGGAGTATATGCCTCTCCCTCCAGAAGAAGCAGAAAATGGAGAGAACGCTGGTAATGAAGAGCCCAAGCTGCAGTTCAGTTATGTGGAATGTTTATTATACAGTTTTCACCAATTGGGCCGAAAACTTCCAGATTTCTTAACAGCCAAACTGAATGCAGAAAAACTCAAAGATTTCAAAATCAGGTAATATATTGATAGAAGCGGTTTAGTTCTTGGCAAAGATGAAAAATCTTCAAGCTTTCTGAGTTTGATTTTTTTTTTTTTTAATACGTGATTCTCTCCACTCTTACTTATATAGTGGAATAGGATAAGAGTCTGGAAGGTACATATTTGAACATTTCACAGATGTGACATTACAGATTCCTGGTGGGAAGTGAGCTTTCAAACAAATAAACTCTTGTTCTCCTCACTTGCCCTGTGACCCTGGGCAGGGTCCCCAACTACTTTACTCAGATTTTTCTCATCTGTTAAATTTGACAGTAGGGAAATGAGCAAGCTTGTACAATGCCTAGCACCTAGTAGGTATTGATACCTGTGTCTGCAGTTGTTAATAATATTCAACAGTGTTGAAGCAGCAGTGCTAGAAAAGTTAGTGATTGCTTTTCATAAGGATACTTTGTATAGAATCATTTCATTAACAAATCCACATCTTACATTTTGCAGTGCTTGAGCCACATTGTCACCTGTTAACTAGCCTCTGCTTTTCCACTGGGAGTGATTTACTGTTTGATCAGTCAAGCATCATGGCCCACAAACTCTTTATAGTGTTATCCACTCAGAAAGCTGAGGTACAATAGAGGCCAATCTGGACAGCATAGCAAGAATCCATCTCAGCATCAAATGTTTGATGAAATACTTGTTCAGAAACAAACAACTTAAGAAAATACTCTTTTTGTTTGGTTAGGTAGCCATTTTTTGCACTGTGAATTATTCTACCACAGTAGATTATTTAAGAACAAAATTGAAGTGATGAATTACTGATAAATACTTTATCATTTAGGTTGCAATACTTTGCACGGGGCCTTCAGGTTTACATCAGACAACTTCGATTGGCTCTCCAGGGTAAAACAGGCGAGGCCTTAAAAACTGAGGAGGTAAGAATGCTGAAGATGACACAAAAGTTGTCAGTCCTGTGACAGACTTTGTGGGTCCTTGCTGGGATTTGGGTCTCCCTAATCTTCATAACAAAACCAGGCTTCATCCTAATGACGTCTTTCCAGTTTGCATTACAACTTCCTATGGTTTATATGGATTTCCTTTGAGATAATTCTTATATAACTCCATATCCTGTGTGTTTTTCAGGTAAATTGCAGGTCATCCTTTTTCTGACCTGCCATAGAAGCAAGATTGAATTTGCTTAGGGTAGGGAAATGGGCGTGGGAGGATTCTCTATATATTTAAGCCTGTGCCTAGAAATTCTCTACTTAGAAATGTGAATCTAGTTGCATGCAGAATGGGATATACACATAAAAACTACTCAACTTTAATTCTCTGTTCCCTTTACAGAACAAGATAAAAGTTGTTGCATTGAAAATAACAAATAATATCAATGTTTTAATCAAGGTGAGTCCCTTTTTCCCTAACCTGCCAGCTAGCTAGAGTTAGTGCAAGAGGTTTTTCCATGTGTCTGCAATGGAGAGATATCATTTCCTTCCTAATGTTTGCCTTCCTAATTTTGAAACTTTATACTTTTTTGTAATACTAGGTGTTATTTCTAGAACTAACCTGGATTTAAAAGGTTTTAAAAAGCTGAGAGCCATGCAAAGCAGTCAGCAGATAGAAGTAGACTTAAAATTTCAGTAACTTAATCTTCTGGTGGGATTTTTGTTGCTATTAGTTGTTTTGGTTTGGATTTTTTGAAGACTCGGTCTTATTTTAGAATGATGTAGTTTTACTTTATGTACATTGGTGCTTTGCCTACATGGTGTATGCTTTCAGTTAATATAGTAGAAATGCTATGGAGAAAGTGCTTTTCACCCAAAAGAAGAGGGACGCATTGCAGGGACAGTGAGAGTATCATTAGACATGGAGGATGAGTGTCATGTTGCCAGGATAAGAAGTGAAATGGCATTCAGAGCACAAGTCAATGAATGGTGTGCTTTGTAATTCTACCACTCAAGAGGTAGACTCAGGAGGATCACCATGAGTTCAAGACAGGCCTAGTCAACAAAGTAAAACCACCCTACCTCAACACCCACAACTTACAACTCCTAATGAAAGCTTTATAATATAAATCTGCTGCTACCAGATCAGTGCCCATATAAAATAACAAGCACAGTGTGCATTGCATGTAATACCAGCAGTAGGGAGGCAGAGACGGGGGTGGGGGGGGGGGGATCCTTGGAACCAGTTGTCCAACCAGGCTAGTAGATTCTCTGAGCCCCAGGTTCGGTGAAAGACCCTGCCTCAAAAACTAAATGGGGGGGGGGTGGATAGAGTGAAAAGGTACTCAAGAGGATACCTGGCCTCAGTCTTGATGTCTCATCCTAGATTCTCTTGAGCCCCAGGTTCGGTGAAAGACCCTGCCTCAAAAACTAAATGGGGGGGGGGGTGGATAGAGTGAAAAGGTACTCAAGAGGATACCTGGCCTCAGTCTTGATGTCTCATCCTAAAATTTTGAGATATTTTGAAGGGAAAAAAAAAATAGCTGAGGTTTAAATCACATAAAAAGTTATGTTAGTAGAAGTAATCAGTGTCCTTTACAACATAATCGCCCCCAGTTTCTTTTTTTTTTTTTTTTTTTTTTTTTTTTTTTTTTTTTTTTCCGTACAGTTTTCTTTGTGTCTCTGTGTAGCTGCCAGCACAAGAAATGAAAGCTTTTCCACCTAGCACATTTTTGCTTTTTAAAACAGGGTTTCTCTGTATAGCCCTAGCTGTCCTGGAACTCACTCTGTAGACTACACTGGCCTTGAACTCAGAGATCCTCCTGCCTCTGCCTCCCCAATGCTGGGTTTGAAGGTGAGTGCCACCACCACCCAGCTCACATTTTCTTTTTCAATGCTAAGGATTAAACCCAGTGCCTTGCACAAAACCAAACTTTAAGATGTGTATTCCTGCTTCATTCCTTGCCCTGTACTCCCTACATCCATAAGAAGTCTTGGCTGATTCTGATTTTTGTCTCTCCAGGATCTCTTCCACATTCCTCCTTCATATAAGAGCACAGTAACATTGTCCTGGAAACCTGTACAGAAAGTTGAGATTGGGTAAGAAATGGATTTTACAGAGTATATTGATAGTGAAATCATTCTCAAAGTATTAAAATATGACAGACAGATTTAAAGTACAAGTCTCATTCATCCCAGGGCTTTACAAAGCAGGGTGGTAGCCCTGGAGGGATTGGTATGTTTGCCTTTCTGTCATATTGCTAGACTTTGTTGGAAGCTTTGCACAGTGAGGACTGCATGTCTTTGAAACCAAATATTTCAAGTAATTTAAAGCCTTATAAATGCTCTTTGGAGGTTCCTGTATAACCCACCAGTTACTGTGATGGGTTATACTACACTTTCTGATGTGACTATCCTCTTTAGCAGATCTTTTACAGCTCACAGGCTAATTTAGAACTGTGTTGTAGCTTTTGGCATAATCCATTGCTTTTTAATTGTCGCTTTTCCCACTGTTACAGGCAAAAAAGAACCAATGAAGATACAAGTTCAAGTTCACCACCCAAGAAATCTCCAGGAGGACCAAAAAGGGATGCCAGACAGATATATAATCCTCCTAGTGGGAAGTACAGCAGCAATTTGGGCAACTTTAATTATGGTGAGCGTTTTTGTTTGGGTACAAGCAGTCCAAGAGATTAGGTAGAAAGTGGTACATGCTTTTAATTGTGAATATGTATGTATGTACATATAAATACATACATACATACATACATACATACATACATACATAGTATCATGGTTCTGTTAGGTTATTCTTTTGAGTTAGCCTGGAAAGGGAGGGGCGATGGGGAAGTAATTGTATCCCATTTCTCAATAACTATTGTGGGCTCACAGAACCAAGCATGTGACACATAAGCACTTGAAAAGGAAAATATGCCTGCTGTAGTTAGAGGAACCAGCAGGAACAGGAAGTTGTCAGGAGCCATCGTATATACTTTTCCATGAAAGGAAAGACATAGCTCTGGCCTCTGGGACTTGTAGGCCTGTTGCTGAAAATACTCAGGTTTCCTGTGGCTAGTTGAAAGAGAAGCCATAGAAATGGAGTCAGATGGTGGAGCATTGTGTGGCTGGGAGAATGCGCTGTTCCCCTGTCTTCTTTGGCCCAAAATGTAGTCTTCCTGCCACTGCTTTCCACTCCTCTGTGGCTAGGAGAACTTCCCACCTATCCATTCTCTCTCTCTCTCTCTCTCTCTCTCTCTCTCTCTCTCTCTCTCTCTCTCTCAGGGTCTAGAATCAGTAATGAAGTCTGGTTCTTACGTAGGCTTTTCCCCATATAAATCTTTCTTTAAAAGATTGAACACATGGGGCATAATGACTCATACCTACATTCCCTGTGCTCAGGAAGGTGAGGCAGGAGGATCACAAGTTAAAGGCAAATCTGGGCTGAGAAGCACAACCCTGTACCCAGAGAGGTCAGAATGGGCACAAGTAACATACCCTATTCCTTTTCTTGTTTAGGAAAAGCTTAATACTAGAAACCCCAACTCTAGAGAGGCTGAGACAGGAGGAGCAGGAGGAGTTCAAGGTCATCTTCATCTGTATAGTCGGATTGAGGTCAGCCTGGGCCACTGTAGACCATGTCTCATTGATAATATCAGGGACAATCATAACAATAGCAGTCAAACATTAATGTAGTTGATTTGATTGCTAATTGCAGTTAATTCTGCAGTTTTGCTTTCTAAGTATATTCTGAGCCATATTTTACTTTACACTCTAGATTTATATTTTCAAATGAGATGATGGTAACATTAGATAAATTTCTCTTAGGGATGCCGCAATTCCTCTGTTAACTGGACAGATTGGAAAAGGCCAGCTTTAGAGAAAAGAACACTCCTGGGCAAATGAATTCTGATCTTTGCTTGTTTGTTTGGTTGGTTTTGGTTTTTGATTTTTTTTTTTTAAGACAGGCTGTCTCTGTGTAACAGCCTTTGGCTGTCTTGGAACTCAGTTTATAGACCAGGCTGGCCTGAAATTCAGCGATCCTCCTCCCTCTGCCTCCCAAGTGCTGGGATTAAAGGTTTACACCACCTCCCAGCATTAAATGAACTCTTAGAGACATATTTAGGGAATGTATTGAATCGTACTTATCTCACTGCAAATAAATGTGCATCTCTTTGCTTCTTACCTGAAAAATAGGAATAGCAGAGCTCTTACGAGCTTCAGGTAAGAATATTTTTGAGAGCATTTTGAAAACAGAAAGGAGTAATCATTGTTTTGTTATCTGTACCAATCTGTGAGGATATAGCATGAATGAAAGTAACCATGAGCTTTTGAAGTACATAAAAAACAAAAAACATATTCCTCTTCACTTGGGCAGTTTTGTGCTACTATGAGTTCCCATGAAGACTTTTGTCTCATAAAACTCTCTGCCTAATAGAAGTTGGAGAATAAATGCAGAAAATGTAACACCTTAGTTTGTATACTTGTAAACCAGAATGTGGTTATTTTTATTTTAAAAAACTGCAAAAAATTAAAGTCTTAAATAAAAGTGGAGGTGTTTTTATTGAAAATGTGGAAGAGACAGATCTCTGAGTTCAAGGCCAACCTGATCTGTATAACAAGTTCCAGGACAGCCAAAGCTACCAAAGTTAATTTTCAAAATTGAAATGTGAAAAACAGTAAGCAGTTTTACTTAACAAAAACCTAGGGTCACAGTTTGAGCTCCTTAAGTAATCTTCATTGTAACTAAAAGGCATAGTGGCCTGGCAAACAGGTAAAGCCCCTCTGGTGTCAGAAGTAAGGATAAATTCCCCTAGTGTTGTGCATTGGCCTGTGGAGTGGGTGGGTTCTTGTATTCTCAAAATGACAATTTAAAAAGAGTTTTCTTGACTTGCTTTATGATTATCACACTGATCAGTGTCAAATGATAGTTTTTCTTGTCCAGGTGTGGTGGTGTTTGGTTCCCACAGATGAGCTCACTTGCCTAGAACATAATCAGTCACATTATTTGTAAATAGGTGCTCATTTTAGTTTCCTTTCTGTGTACAGAGTTCTCCGGGAGGCCAGGAGTACTAGACAGTCTACACTTTGTGACTGCCATGCTTTCTTTATTAGCCTTTTCCAGGAACTGTAACAATAGAATTTTTTTTCCAGCAGTTAGGAATGAAGGTTACAGCATTTGCCTCCTTATGCAAAGCCCTGGCTTTGACTTGCGGAACACACAAAAAAAAAGTTGAATAAAAACTTAAAAGTTAAATAAATAAATAAAAAATCCGTGGTATTGGTGGTGCACGCTTTTAATCCTAGCACGTGGGAGGCAGAGGCAGGTGGATCTCTGTGAGTTTGAGGCCAGCTTGATCTACAGAGCGAGTATCAGGACAGGCTCCAAAACAATACAGAGAAACTCTGTCTCAAGAAAAAAAAAACAAAACAAAACTTTAAAAGTTAAGGTAAACTTGAAATCATTGAAATAATGATTAAAATGCTGAATTGTCCTTTAGAATAAAACCAAAAAGAAGAAACTTGGGTGGAACGCTGTGTGTTAACAGTAGCTTCATTGAGTGAAGATCAAAAGAAATACTCAATGTAGAGAGATGAAAGACTTTAATAATACTTTTGCAGTGTTTAACAACTCATATGTAGCTGAATACTGAAAGCAACTCTGTTTTTTTGTGTTAAAATTGAAATATTATTGTTTAAATCCCTTTGAAAAGCTAGAAAATATTATTTGTACATCTTTCAAGCCCCAGAATTGAAAAACTGTAAAGGTTAGTTTTTAAAGGTCAATTAGTGCATAGTTAATAATTGTGTGTACTAGTCTGCTAAGTGTGCTGATTTTATAGAAAATTATTTTTGTGGACTAGGTATGTGTAGTTCAGTAATGTGGAAGTCCTCTTTTCCTATGCCTGAGAGGAAAAAAGTGGGAGCAAGGAAGGAAAAATACATTTCACGCACCTTAAATATAAACAAGAAGTGAAGGAGTGACAGCTGGCTACAAGTTACAGTGTGCACAGTCACTTCAACTGTCGTGACATCTTACCCTTAACCACTGGTGGTTTTCTCAAAGATGATCATTATGGGTATTAAGATACTATGCTTTTTGTTGATTACATACTAAGAATCTTGAACTAAGTATATCTGTCCTAACACTATCACTTTTGAATATGTTGTCTGGGGCACTAAAAATGGTAGCTTCATTAAAGTGATTTGCATACCAGTCCTTGAATAAATCTGTCATTGGGCAAGAAGTGACTGAGTCAGGTTCTACTGTATTACAAAGAAAAAAGTATTGACTAGAGTAGAAAGTCTTGTTAGTTTTCTGTCTCAGAATTGAATTCTTTTTCTTTCTTGAGAAAAAAGGGAGATTCATCAGAAAACCATCCAATAATCATATTGGCAAAAATTAAAAAATGGATTGTAAAATTGACCTAAAAAGTATTTTTTGACAGGCGTTGGTGGCACACGCCTTTAATCCCAGCACTCAGGAGGCAGAAGCAGGTGGATCTGTGAGTTTGAGGCCAGCCTGGTCTACAGAGTGAGTTCCAGGACAGGTTCAAAAGCAATACAGAGAAACCCTGTCTTGAACTCACCCCACCCACCCCCCAAAAAAGTATTTTTCAAGACACCAAGACAGACAACTGCAGCCTTTATTGCTGCTAACAAAATTGCTTCAGTGAGGAAGTGTGAAGCTCAACAAAGAGATTGATTTCATTTGTCCATGATTAACAATCCAGCCTCACTGACAACTTCAATGTTCTTTGGTGGAGAAAGGCTTGTTCTCCTGTATGCCTTGACTTTCAATAAAAGATTATATGTGCATTTTGTGACAGTTCTGGGGAGCTCATACAGCCCATGAGAAAATAAAAAGCTCAGCACTGAATCTGCACTTAAATGAGTGCCAGTGCTTTAGATAGTGGTATGACAACAAAAGATACCACCTGTGTGTCACATACCAAAGGTCAGTTGATGTTTAAGATACATCTCATACTTTTGTTACATTGTTAATTCTTTATTAAGTGTAGACATTTTTATAGTTTTATGCTTTGATAGTGATAGGCACCAAAATAAAAACTTAGAAGTATGGTTATCCTAACATTGTTGCTTTGAAACAACTTTGCTAATGAGAAGCATTTAATCAGACTGCTATGAGCTATCTGGCACTTTGTTATTTACATCTCTTCCTCTGTAAATGTTATCCTGGTCTGATGAACAGAATGAATTTGAAGACAATGACACAATACCACTTTAGCTTTTACAAGGCCTGCTATTTTCAGAACTACAAGCTATATTTCTGTTTGCTGAACCATGAAGTCCTGAGCAAGACCTAAACCATTGTTCGCTTTTTCGTAGAGCAGAGAGGAGCCTTCAGGGGAAGTAGAGGAGGCCGAGGTTGGGGAACACGAGGAAATCGTAGTCGAGGAAGACTCTACTAGAATACGACATTATATTCTTCAGCATTGTCATGAGCTTAATATTCTTAAATCTACTACTCATTGGATTGCCGGGGATGTCCCTTTAAAAGGACTGCTGCCTTCAGCTGAAAATGTAATGTTCTTTCTACCTTTGTATGTATGATCTACTTTTGTAACCGACCATGGTTGTGTCCAAGGTAAAACCAAAACAATATTTTTGGATGCTTTGTCTGCAGCCTTGACTTGTTTTGCAATATCCTCATTATCAGACTTCATCTTGTGAATCTTACTTTTAAACATCTTCATAATTTGTTATTGAGAACTGAGTCTAATGGAAAATTCAGTCTAGCTTGTGATCTGGTGAAGTTAATCACTTCTGAAAGGTTACTTATTTTCCTCCCCATTCTGTTAAAAAGTTTTTTGCCCATACATGGAGAAGAGTAATGATCAGTTAACCTTTTGCTTTCTTCCAATGGATTTCTAATGAAGCTGCTAGGCAGTGTTGTAGCATTCCTACTAAGACTGATAAAAGTTAAACACCAGCTTCTTACAATGTACAAATTACATTAAGTTTTTAGGAGGCAGTAAGTTGCTTTGCATTACTTCCTTCACTCTTCTCCATTTTTTGGGTTACAGCTTTCGAACACAGGATCTTATTTGAATAGGAGTACATGTGCATAATACGTACAGACATAAGCATATGTTGTGTGTGTATTATATGCATGCTACGGAACTTGAGAGTACAACAAATCAATATTTTAAATTCTAGGAATGGGTCATATGACACAGTGATTATCCTTTTGAGGCTGAATCCATTACTGACTTGGTGTCTAGGTTTTTACTCCAATAGGGAGGATTTTGAGTCTTGTCGCACTTACATTATTATTGTTTAAAACTAAAAACAAAGGCTGTGTTTTCAGAGACAAATTTGAAGACCCTTGTTGATGAAATACAGCCAGATCTGGTGTACATACAGGTTCCCACGGGATGTGATAGTATAATTTAGGATTTGGAGACTTAATAACCAGGGCTACCCAGGAAAGTGACTTGACGACATAGTACCATTAAATAAGAGATGTTCACTCAGTTTGCTTTTGCCACTTTCAGAATTTAACTTCTCAGGTTATTAATCAGATTATTGTATAAGTTAGCCAGTAGTCTTTAGATTAAAACAACAAATGGGAGGTTTGTGGAGTGTCTCACTGTCATGGGCATTTTTAGTAGCCCAGACCCTTTGTTCTTCATTTGAATGTTTCATATATTTTTGTTCCACAGTTAATCTTCCTTCCCCAAGTTTGCCATTCAAATCAAATATTCACATGTCATTGCTAGTAAGTTTGTTGTTTTTTTGTTTTGTTTCATTTTGGGTTTTTTGGGAGGGGTTGTTTGTTTTATTTGGGGGGATTGGTTTTTTTTTTTTTGTTTGTTTTTTGTTTTGAGGTTTCAATTCTTACACAGGTGTCTTCATTACCATTACTTCCACACTGGTTTTTGAAAAAAAAAAAAAAAAAAGGCAAAACCCCTTTGTGAAAATTACTGCATATATTTGTCTAGAAAGTATTTCTAGAAGCCTAGAATGATACAAGCATAAGAAGTTGGTCAGCTTGACTATGGAGTTCTGGCAATAATCTCTGAACATTCCACAAGACTGATCTGAACCTAGGCTTCCTTGGAATCTGAATAAACATAGGAACATGGGATTGCAAGTTGAGAACTGTGACCATCTAGTATGAATCTCAGATAGATCAGCCATGGCCTAATGCCATTTCAAATACAAAAATGAATTGGACTACAGCAATATAAATTTGAACATAGTGTAATTTTTCCTTTCACTTGTCTGAGTTTTTTTGTAAACTCAGCATAAATAACTTGACCTCATATCTAATGCAGAGCTCACTGCATTCCTCCCTCATCCCTTTGCTCCCCTTCCCTTGCCTAGGCAATACTGTGTAGCTTAATGTTCTTTTTGCTTCAGAGATTTGAATGAACATCTTCATGCCATAATTACCTTTTTCTTCTACAAGACACCTGTTTATCCCCTTGTTTAAATGTAAATGTTCCCTTATGCTTTTGAAATAAATTTCCTTTTGTAATTTTGTTTCGTGTCTTAACGTGTTATACTTACAACTTGAGATTCTTCGTTCTTGGATATTATTAGCATTTTTTAAAAAGATTTGGTTCTTTTTGTCAAAACAGTGTCAGAGCTGAAGCATGGTATCTCTTGCCTGTCATCCATCAGGGCACTGAGGCACAAGGATCTCAAGTTCATGTGTAGGCTTTATAATGAGACAGTGTTTGAGGATGAAAAAAAAAAAAATCAACCAGGTTTGGTACCCACACCTGTAATCCTAGCTAACAGGAAGCTGAGGCAGGAAGATCACAAGCCTGAGGCAAGCCTGAGCCAATGAGATCTATCCTTTAAAATAAAAACCAGCACCAGCAAGATGGCTCAGCTGATAAAGGAGCTTCCTTCCAAGCCTGACAACCTAAGTTCAATCCCCTACATTCACACAATAGAGAGAACCAACTCATCACAGTTGTCCTATGACACAAACACTAAATGTAATTTAAAAAATTAATAAAACTCACATCAAATTCTACAAACTCGTGAAATCCTTCCAGACTTCAAAATGGTTTGAATACATACTGCTCCTGCAGAGAACCTTAGTTTAGTTCCCAGAATCCACATTAGGCAGTTATGCCTGAAACTAGTTCTAAGGGGCTAGACACACACACCTCTCCAGCAAGTATCTACATTTATGTGCATATACCCACATGCAAAAATGCATACATATAATTTTTAAAATTTTATTTAGTGGCTAATAAATGGCTTAGTCAGCTGATGAATTTGCAACTGAATGAAATTGAAAGGTGGGAAAAAATTACAGGTCTGTTTTCCTATCCTCTTCCTATCTTCTGATTGCTTCTCAGCCTCTACTGTCACATGCTCAGCACTGTGCTACCATCCAACAGGAGCTGAAACCCCTACAACTGGGAGCCAGAATAAGTCCTTCTTTTAATAAAGTGCTTGTTGTGTGATTTGTCAAAGTGAAGAGAAGAAATAGCATATTTGCATTGGGCTTTGTAATTGTTTTACTCACTTCAAATGGGAAGGCTACTTTTGGGAGGAATCTAAAAAACCCAGTCAATGGAAGCAACCTAGATGCCCCTCAACTGAAGAATGGATAAAGAAGATATGGCACATTTACACAATGGAATACTACTTTGCAGAAAAAACACAATGGAATCTTGAAATTTGCAGGCAAATGGATGGAACTTGAAGAAGCCACCCTGAATGAGGTAACCAGTCACAAAAAGAGGAACATGGTATGTACTCACTATGATTTTAGACATAGAGCAAAGGATCACCAGCCTATAATTCACATCACCAGAGAAACCAGGATACAAGGAGGAACCTAAGAGATTCATATAAGGTCCCTCACAGAAGGGCAAAGGAACAAGATCTAAGCATATTGGGAGTTGGGGGGGCAGTGAGTGGAGAGGGAGCTAGGAGAAAGAAGGGAAGGAGAGGAAAGCACAGGGGACAAGGAAGATTGAGTCTGGAGGAATAGACAAGAGAAAATAGAGAGGCCATAGAAGAGGGAGCCATTATAGGTTTGAAGAGAAAACTGACCCTATAGAAATGTCCAGAGACCTACAAGACTGACCCCAACTAACAATTTGAGCAACAGTGGAAAGGCTACCTTAAATGCTGTTCCCTGATAATGAGATTGATGACTAACTTATCCACCATCATAGAGCCCTCATCTAGTAGCTGATAAACACTGAGCCGAACTCGAATCCAGATGCACAGAGGGAGGATAAGACCAAGCTTCAGAAACCTAGAGACAACCAACCTGAACAAGGGGAAGATAATGGACCCCCAGACTGATAGCTGGGAAACCAGCATTAGACTGACTCAGACCCCCTGAACATGGGTCTCAGAAGGCCTGGGCAGTCTAAGGGATCTCTGACAGTCAGTGGAACCAGGATGTATCACTGGTACACAAAAGGACGTAGGGAACACATTCCCCATGTAGGGATACTCCCTTAACCTAGAGGCAGGAGAGAGGGCCTAGTCCTTACTCCATATGACAGATTGTGTTGATCCCTCCTGGAAGGCATCACCCTCCCTGTGAAGTGGGGGGGGGGGGGGGTAGGATGGGGGGATATATATATATATATATATATATATATATATATATATATATATATATATTAAAAAGTAACCTAGCCAAAAACAAAGTATAGATACTCAAGAAGATAAAATATATTACCATAAGAAAATCCTTCTGTTTTTAGCTGCTAATAGTCTAGGTTAAATGAGCAAAGAATTTTAGGACTAATCCTTTAGATGGCCTTGGTCAGCCCAGCTTTTCCCAATCCTGCTTGTACTTCTCAGAACATACTAAGAATGAACTGATCTATGTTAGGGACAGAAACCTCCACAAGGGTTGTGTCCTTGTTCATTCTAGTGTAGTATGTTCTACATGTTTCTACTCAGTGATACCAGTTACACCTAGAATACAAACCCAGTGTGCTCTGGAATCTTTCCAATGTGGTGTAACATAGAACATTCCCATCTGCCCTGGTCAGTGTCCCTGACCTTGGAGGTAGTTTATTGGCTCTATTTATCTTTGCTGCCTACCTGTATTGTATTTCTTTTTCTAGTTTTACTGTGTATTGTGTGTCACTAGACTAGACCTAAGAACCTTTGCAGAAATTGCTAGATTTTCAGTGCTCAGAATGTAGAAAGTAGTATGTTATGTCATTAGTGCTACAAAATTAGAGATGGCAAGAACTTTACAAAGTAGGATTTGAACTGTACCTTAAATTGTAGAAAAGGAAGCACACGTAAAGGCTGAGAAGGGATAAGCAAACACTTCTGTACATTAGGGCTACCTAAAGCAGGAATGGTATTCATACATAGACATCCTTACACACTGAATATATATGATTTTTATTTTCAAGTATATTTTAATAAGGCTAGGATTTTAAAAGATCCACCTGGGCTGTGGAAGACATGTAGCTATATGTAACTCCTGAAATTCTGTTATTTGGCCAAAGGTATTTTTGCAAATGTCATAGTCAAAAATAAGCTAATCTGGAGTTAATTAAAAGGAAGATTATTCACTTGGAGAATCTTGTCATAGAAATTCATTAAATCTAGCCTAGAGATTTAAGTCAGTTTCAAACAATGGAGACAGTCTCTTGCTGTCCTTAAAAGTAATGGCCATGCACTCCCCTACATATGGAATTGGGGTGGGGGGGATGGGAGGGGAGGGTGTTTAGAGTACATGTGAGAGGGCAGAGAGGGTAAAAAAGGGAGGGAAGGAGGGAGGGAGGGAGAGGGAACTGGGATCGACATGTAAAATAATATATTAAACTAAAAAAAAAAAAAAATGCTTTGACTCCAAAATTTAAATTGAAGGACAAGTTACTGGGGAAAAGGATTTCTATTTTTGTTTCCACAGAAAATGAAAAGATGTGGATTCCTTCCAGACTAATGTGGTTTGATCATGCCAGACCGCCTGAAACAGAGTACAAGCTGATCCTACATTCAAAACAACTGGACAAAACAGCCCTACAGACTACAGCCAGGATATCTGAATCTTCTTTGAATCCCCCAAGACAGCGCCCCTTACCAGCAGGAAGTAGTTTGGAAAGAACGATGCCCAAATTCCCAAATATTGTGTATAAATGTTTGTTTTCATTTAATTGGACTGTTATATAAAATTAAATTAAGTAAATAAAAAAAAAGTAATGGCCATGTTGAAAGCTACATGGCTCAAGATATAGTGGGTGTTTTGCCTTAATGACCTGTCAGCATACAGTTGTAGGACCTCAGTCCTACAACAACAAAGAAGTAAAAGCTGCAAGAACTTGAATGAACTTGAAGAGGACACCTTATCCAACCCTGCCACCAAGCTTCAGAGTGTAGCCTTAATACCAGTTGTGTGAGACTGAGTAGAAAACCAGCCATGCCAAACCATACTCTTCTTTCCATAAAAACTGAAATTAAAAAAGAAAGAAACTGAAATCATGTGTTAAGCTGCTAAGTTTGTGAAGATTAGTTATACAACAGAAAACCATGGAGGGCTCTTAAGTTTTGAGACAAAACCTTGCCTCAAAAACAAGGGATATAATCTACAGAAAAAAAAAAAAAAGTGGATGATCTGTTGAGTTCATAGATTTTTGCCTCCTTTCCAAAGGCTAAATGCCAGATATTTCTAATACTTAAAATATATGGTATTAGGGATTATATTCAACTATTCATTCTAGAGCCAGGTAGGTATATTAAACACAAGGTATTAAATGACAGGGTAGAGATACATAAAGCTCATTAGTAGTGTGTTTGGCTAGCATACACAGGGCCCTGGGCTCAGTCGATAGCATTGGTAAAAAAAAAAAAAAAAAAAAAAAAAAAAAAAACAAATGTTGGTGCCACTTTAATTATTTTATATAGAGTAAATGACTACACTTAAAAATAAGATGCTGAGAAAACGATTCCATCATTTGCCACTACTTCAAAAGTCAGTTACACTGCTTATTGTCTACATTTAAACTCAATATGACACACAAGTCCCTATCAACTTAACACCAGCATCATCTTTACCATACTTTACTTAACCATGACCTTTGTGCCAAGCCTTTTTTCACCTGATCGTAGTTCTCCTTTACACATACACCCTTATTATACTTCCAATGTCTATATTTTAATTAACTTGTCAACATCCTGGCTTACTCTCAATGTTCATATGTCAATGCCCAGTCTCCACTACCATTCAAAAGGCAGATATGGTGTGTGTTTGTGTACGACAATGTGTGCCACATGTATAAAGGTGGATCCCCTGGAGCTGGAGTTACAGGTGTGAGATCAGTATTGGTTCCCTGGAAGAGCAAGAAGTGCTCTTCAGCTCTGAGTTATTTCTTCAGCACTAATTTGTACCTTTTTAATAAGAAGAATGTTATTAACAGAAAAGTTGCTTGGGGGCTGGGCCTGATTACTCATGCCTAATAGGTAAGCCTGGGCTCAATAATAAATCTCAGGCAACTTGGGCTCACATGAGGACTCCCCATGACAGAAGAATTAAACA